AAGGGTAAAGAGGTGGCCTGATATGGCATGGTATATAAAAAAGGAGGTGGCCTGAAAGGGCTTGGTTTTTCAAGTTCAGTCGTAACTCCATACAGCATGCTAATTTTGCCATTGCTAGGTTTCTCCACTCTCAGAATATTTTAGGTAACTATAAGTTGTCACACAGCCAAATTCAATTTATGCTGTACACAACGCATAAAAGATGGTCAACATCCAACCAAAAAGCTCAGAGACTTCTAAGGCTGCACAAATGCTTGAAGGCATCAGCTTCAAGGGGTTTGTGTGGGATGCACAGCAATGAGGGATCCTTTCAAATGTGTGAGGATAAGATTCAAAAGATTGCACTTCTGAAAATATTACAACTGCTAACCCCAGAAGTTCATTTAAGGTTGAGTGACCAATGCATTGTGAAGGCAAACTGATTTATGGTTTTCTGTAAGTGGGAAAATCAGAGTTTTCAAAAACTGTCAGATTGATGACCTTCTTACTCATGAGCGTGTGTCAATCTGTTTTTTCAGTATTTAGCATCAGATCAATTCTCATTCATTGGCCAGATGGATGAAGCACTGGCCATTCCATGTATATATTTTACAAAGGAAATTGGCTAATCCCTTCCATCACTAGTTGATTTGTTTAATTTCACTGGTCAATGCTGTGGTAGGTCTTTCTACTCAGAACAATACATGGGGATGAAAATACTGGTGTGCATGTCAACATCAGCGTTCTCCTACTTCCTCCATCTTTCTGTGTTTTTAGCATTACCCACTGCCAAAGTCAATCAATCGCAATATGGAGGTTACAGGTGCCCAAGAAACTGTTTTGAATAGTTTTGGTCATGCAACCTATTTCATACAAGCTTCTTGTGTTAAAAATGAACTACCTGACAGAAGTCACAGTGCACAAGAAGAGTTTTATAAGAACCTGCAGCTGTACTTTGTATGCTAATGCAATAGACATGACCTTTAACTGCTCAAAATGTGAAGATGCTTCATTAAAATAATGCACAAAAGGTTTCAGTGCAAACTAAAGGAGACTCAGTCTATGCACTGGTTACGAAGGAGATGTCTGTGGTAAGGTGTTGAGTTAAAGGTTAATAAGAACAGGTGCATGAATGCCCAGAGCTTTTAGTTACACAAGCCCCCAGTTTCATTTCTGTTTGTTGTTAGTTTTGCCTCCACCATCTTTAACTCTGTATCTGTGCCATATATGTAACATATATGAGTGGCATATACGAGTGCTCATTTGCTAAAGGCACTCCAGAGCATACCAACCCAAAGTTCTTCAACAAACAACAAAACTAAAGCAAAGGGTTGATGGATCATGCCTTTATGCAAGTGTTGGGAGTGTCTAGAATATTCTCACCCATTCACGCATCCATCTGGCAAAACTGGAATGTTAGTGTTCGTTTGGAAATGTTAGCTTCTTTTTCACTGTGGGGCCAAATGGTTACCATGGCCGCCTCGCGTAACTGGTGCAGACTCGTGAAACCGGTCATGGTTTCTTCTTCTATCCATTGTGCTGCTAAATGAGGACTAATGACCAAAGAGAAACTACAGAAACTACAGTTGGTCAGCGATGGCACCCCATGTATGTATGTAATAAAGACATCGTATGTAGAAAGTTATAAGCGTGCAGTCAAGGTAGGAGAGACCTTGCTGGCACAGGTATACGAAGGCTCCTCTTCAGTTCTTACTCAAGCAACGAGACTCGTTTAAACCTTACATTTATAAACATTAAATTAAATGTAACATTTCATTTCAAAGTCTGGTAACAGCATCTCACCACTTGAAGCTGTTTATGCCATTTTTCAAATGGTTTTGCGCTGCACATGAAGGACTGGGTGACTGAAGGTCTCGAAGAACCAGCTGAGTTCTTCAATTTCTCACAAATGAAGGGTGCATTTCTTGGCTGCATTCAAAGGATTCTATAAAACAGCTCAGTCTTCACTGACGAAACAGCCAAAAAACACAGCCTTCCTCGCTTGCGTTCTCAGCTTTAAGACACACCACGAGCGTTTTCAGTTCGCAAACGACGCCAAATGAGCATCAAAAAAAAATACAGAGCCAATCAGCAAATACCTACACCCTTGTGCCATCCCACTGAAACAGTTTTGCTGAACAGAGCACAGCTGGCTAATTGTGCTGAGGAAATCCTGAGAAGTTTATAAGCATTCCAAATGGAAATTCCATTGGAGTACTTATTCACCGTCCTCAGAATCATTCAGCCCTATAGTGGAAAAGAGGCCACTGTTCAAGTGTGTTATGGCCTTCAAGATGAAATGGACAAACTCTCTCATACACTTGCAAAAACTGGATGCGGACTGGACGAGGCAAACCTTTAAAATGTAATCTGGCATAATGCTCTGCTTTATGTCTATAGTTTTACAGATTTCATGCTTGTAGAAACTTCTTTGACCCTTCTGAGAACAGGAATACCCTTCAAGATGGAGGCAGGGATTCCCCCAAGGGCTAAGTGTGATGAAGTCTGGGAGTACATTTGTCCTCCAGTAGTGGAACACAAGCTCACTGGTAATATTTTGTGTGGAGTTGGAGTGACTCGTGTACCATTGCGAATACAGATACCTTAAACCATGTATTGGAGAGGGTGTTTTCTGGAGAAAATAAAAGTAGAGCAAAATGTGTAGGAAGTGCTTACAAACTGGTGTTTAAGTAGCTGTGTATGAAAAGCTTAAAAATTGCAGATGTGATAGGATTCATCTATTACAGTTCAGTACACATTTTAACTGAACTATATATTTGAAAACTGATGCTATGTGGTGAGGTTTTATATTAACATAAGGTTTGCTGACTTGTAGTGACTAAATGTTTTATATCACTTGCAAAGTGGAAGAGGCCTAATCAAATAGTGTGTAGATATTTCCAGCCATGTAGACACCAACAGCCCGAAGCCTAGAATATCCCACTGGAAGATTTTTCCTCTTGAAACGTCAAAGCAGCAGTGCAAAGATATGGCTATGTATGGAACTTCTTATAATCACATCTGCTTGAAAACAGCTTATGTTGATGCTCATTTTGCTAGTTGATAAGTCACAATCTTGCACTCTGTACAAGTCTTGTCAGTCTGCATGGTCTCTTTCAAACAGAAACACAGTCAGGAGTTTTCAATTACAGAGTTCTGCAGAGTTTGGGGATTGTTCTTTAACTAACTCAATCAGGCATTAAAATCACTAATAAAGCCCTCCTGGACCTATGCTGGATACATCTATGTGATCATTTGCTGAAATGGCTGCACCTCAAATGTATATGGTAGCAACTACGTTTTGTACACTCGGTGTATGCGTCTGCTAACATTGTGAGGTGGAAACCTCTGCATGTCTTGTGTCAACTTATTTGGTCAGTCAAAAGAATAGCAGAGAAGAACAGGTCAGGAAAAAGTCAAAGCTAAAATTATATGTCAGTATATCGAAGCTTCATTTAATTAGATCTAAACACGTTACTTAATTTTAGTTTGGAGGGCTAAGAAAGTGTTTGCATTTGCACATTTTCAGGTGAGGTGATGTCAACTTTTGCCCAAGGCCAGCCTGGCCCTGTATCAGGAAAGGATCAGCACCATCTTTTAGTGGTTTATCCCAGAAATTTGTCGAAACTGCAAGTCTGAACAAAGGCCAGAGATGGTAACTTTGGCAAGACAGAATCTGTTTTTGGCCAACAAAATCTAGTTGGCAAAATGCATGCACTGGCTCCTGCATGCTTTGGTTGTTTGTTTTTTCCAAGATCTTTATGGATGAAGTAAGTGCAGGAAAATGGACCACCAAAATCCTCCAGTTCTATCAAAACAGTAGACGCTTAAGTCATTAAATACTGGTCATATGATGCTTTGGTTTGTGTAACTGATGCAGCCCAGTGCTTCACCAAACCCATGTAAATGGCTGAAGCACAGCTGAGGCTAAAAACGTTGATATCAATTCAGAGGCCTGTAATGCAAACCGTTGAAGTGAACCTAGCTGAGGAAGTGAGAGTGTATTCATCTGTGAAAGAACGAGCATCTGTGTGTGGTGACAGAGGTGGTTATTTTGTTGTTTGTACACATGGAAACAGGGTGTTCAGTCCTCTTTCCTGCTTAAATTTGATTTTTGACAGCAAAAACTGATAATGTAATGGAAAGGCATTGCTGTTTTGCTGTTGGGATTCTTTATGGTAATAGTTTTCTTGTGTGTTTATCTCAATCTAATGCACCTGACTCATCAAACTTTCATTAAATAAAAAAGCAAACATATCACTGCCATCCAAAGAAATAAAAGCATCTCTCCAAAACAGTAACTTTACGGGGTGGGGGGGTGTTCTTAGCTGTTAATGTAAGTTAATGTAAATATACTGCATTTCAAGTAATTTTGGAGCATGTCTATTGATCTATGAAATTTTCACACAATGTAAAATGTAGCTGCTGTGGAAAATACTGGAAAATAAGGGAGAGATTTTTTTAAACAGCGACAATATGGAGAATGCTGGGTTGCCGAGACTAGCAACCAATGACCTATGTAATTGTGAGAAATACACGTGTTATTATTTAACCCCTAAAACTGCATACTTGCTATTTAGTTATTAATGAATATGTAAGTTATGCAACTATGAGAGTGAGTGTGTGCCCACAAAGGAACCTTATGAGTTTAAAGGATTAAACCAGCTATCATCTATCTGAGCATTTCGGGTTGTTCAGAACACATATTCTTGTCCATGTGGTGCCACTGCTCTTTATTTTGACAGAAGTATACAAGCATATGACTTCAATACTCACCTGGGAATTTATATTCATGTACTTACCTGTTAAGAGTGCAGGTGAAATTTATATGAAGTTTGACTATTTTTGTTGGCTTTTTTTTTTTGGAAGTGACTAGGCTATTGTCCAAGTGTTGAGCAACCCACCTCAGACAAATTCTGAGCAACCATGGTTGTTGGATATAGGCATCAGTTTAAAGTATAAAACAGTGTGGGAACAGTGTGGTGAACCTGTGTATACTACGAACCCTGAGTGATACATACTGGATTTGTAAAACACTGATGGAGCGATTGCCGAAGACTCCTGCGCCCCTGCTGCTTTGGGCTTGGGGTCGCTGGACAGGGGAGCTGAGACAGGCTCCTCCGTCTCCAAGCTCACCGCAGGCTTCTTACCGCTACCATCCTCTTCTTTAACTGGCTTCTCCACCAATTTCCTCTTGAAAAGCTTTTCGAGAAAAGTCTTCTTCTGGATCTGAAATCAACACATGCCACAGTGAGCAGCTAATCATTTGCAATCTCCAATGTCAGGTGGTAACATGTATAGTTTTAGTACTAAATTTTGAATAGTTGAACCATGTTTGGCCCTAACATGCATAAACATGCATGCTAGGTGATTCAATCATAAAAGGACAGTGCTAAATACATGTGTGAATGTGGTACAATGCGTCTCAGAATAATGCATATGACCATATAACATTGCGTCTCAATGTGTTCCAGGAGAACAAATGATCGCCTTATCAACCATCTCATCACGGTAAAGATAAAAGCTTCCTCCTGTTTGTTTATAAGTGGTGTTCCCAATCCGTGCAATCTAAATATCTGTAATGGCCCATGCATTTACAAGGAAATAGACTTGTGGCACATTTTTGTCTGACAACAAACACCAGAGGCACACTGGAAAAATGAAAAAAAAAATTATATATTTTGATAGGGCATGGTGAGAAACCTATTGGCTTATTACACGTCACAGGAATGGTCTCTTACCTTCAAATATTACTACTCTGTACTCTGACTTACTGACTTAAAACAAAGTTTAAACTTTTACTGAAGGTAAAATTAATGTTAAATAATAAAAAAAAAAAGTTAGTCCAGTGTTGCTTTACCTTAGGAACAGATTTAGGTGCAGGTTTGGTCTGTATCGTCTGTATCTGTGGCTCTGTTTTGGGCTCAGAGATGGACTGCACTGCTACAGCAGCGTGCCGTATGATGCACTGGTGGCCACAGTAGACAGACTCTGGCAAGGCATCGTTAACGCAGCCTGGCCCGATACACTTAGGAACATCTGCCTTTTCCTCAACCACTTCCTGTTCCACCTTCTCCTCATTCTCAAGCCCCAACACAGCTGCTACAACCTCCACCTGAGACAGAACTCAAAGCTCAGCTCTCAGCAACACAAAACATGTTAAACATAAAGAGAAAAGTTTAGAGAACAAAAACCTTTCAAAAGGAAACACAACATAGTTTAGGTCCACATAAATGATTTGGAATATTAGCTACTGATCGGAAACCAAACAAAGATTACATTTAGTTTGTAAGTCCTACAAATCCCTAATCTTGACTCTACATTAGAGTAGTGTATATAACCTCAGCACACCACTGTTTTAAAGGTCTACCTCAGAGCTACTGAAAGGGGAACTGCATGATTTAATCACTAAAACGTGAACAAGGTCATGATGTGAACTGCTTCATTCTAGAGAATTACTGTCAGAACTGTTCACAGTGGTGGTGATAGGAACCAGGCGTCCGAAGAGTTTAATACCTCTGAACTCTTGAGGTTTCGGGGGGGGGGAATAAAGTGTCTATATTTGTGTTGTAGTGATGGCAACCCCTAGTTCCTATCACCACCACTGTAAAGAAATTTAAGTCTCTACAATCAACCATTTTACATGAAACCACTTTGAATGACATTTCATTTATATCTCAACCAATGACTTATATTACACACCTTTACACCTTTTATTTTAAAGTAATTTTGTAAACGTTAGAAAATGAAGTAAAAATGTCACCTGAGACCAACCTACCTTTTTACTAGTATATTGTTTTGTCTTTTTGGCCCACAACAAAAACTGTACTTTGTCCCCCAAACACAAATAGGTTTGAGCACCCCTGGTTTAGATATTGCATCCTGATTGTAAAACCAAATGAATTTTCATCTTAATAAACTGCTGTCAATAATACAGCAGCATCATCTCTGGTGAACAAACAGAAAATAATTCTGTAAAGGTTTCATCTGTTTAGCCAGTCCTCCAATGAATGATTACAGAATGGACAACAAACCACATTCAGTGGACCATTTACTTATTTCTGACTTTGAGAATCATCACAAACATCTGAGAAAGTACTGGCATTTGCCCATTAAGAATATAGCAATATGTTTTAACCGCAAACAGGCTACTGGACAGATTTTGTCTTACTGTCTTATTCAAATATTGTGTAGTTGTGAAGTTGTTTTAATTTTTAGCAGATTTTTGCTCTAAACAGGCAATCAGCAATTTATTATTTTGATTTTGGCAGATCAGTGTTGCAGTTTTAGGAAGTACATGAAGTGAGGCAGGTAAGTGCGCTCACACTGTATTTGAACACTGCTGCTAGATTGATACCAAAATGTTGTTGCCTCTTGTTTTCTCATTTGATTTCATGTTATTTATTTAAATAGACAACTGATTTTTCATTTACAAATTTAAAACAAAGGTTTGGCCCATTAATTTAGTTATTTATACTGTGACTTTGGCTAAGAGAAGGTGCTAGAAATATGCTGTGGTCATTTAGCCCACACAGCTTGAGTTAATTAATAAAAAAATGAAAAATTCATTATCGGTGCATCCCTAATTTTAATCTATAGGGCAAATTATAAATCTGTTTAACAAGCAATAAAATGTTGTCAATGTTATTTTGACACCAGATTCATTTGAACTTATTTTGTGAAATACTCTCAAACACTCGAGTAAATTTAAATAAAAAAAATAAAAAATAAAAACAGGTGGCGGCCAACTAAATCTAGACAAAGTGATTTTACCGGCTGGAAAATCTTGAATTTTCTCTTAGTGCTGCGAGTGGCAGCCTTCCGGATTTTTCCTCTGATGCCCTCGTCCTCGCTGGGTCTTTCTTCTCCAGCTGAGGCCGAAAAAAGGCTCTCAGAAGAGGAACTCAGAGCTGCTGTGGAGAGTGCAGGCTGCTTCATGAAATCCACAGGACTCTGACAGGGAGAGCAGGTGGGGCAGATGTAGTCCTCTCCATTCTCTTCCAGAAGACGTCCGCGAGCCTCAGAGATGCCGACACAGTCGCCATGGAACCACTCCTGACAACGGTCGCAACAGATCATGAACCTGGAGAGAAAAAAAAACAACATTATATATATATAATATATATATACATACATACACACACACACACACATATATATATATATATATATACATATATATATATATATATATATATATATATATATATATTACATATACATATATGTGTGTGTGTTACACACACACACACACCCAATCTGTAACTCCTCATCACAATAGAACACTGAAATCACAAAAGGCTGTGATATGCAAATGAGTTCTCTAACCAATCAGCTGACCGGTCACAAATGTTTCTTGGTGAGTGTTCTGACGAATCATGTTATGCGGTCAAGAAATAAAGCAAATACTAGACTAAACTTTATGCAAGATATATAACAATAGCAACATGTAGGAGATATGTATAAGCAGTGATCTGTCATAATATGACTATTTTTGTCCACTGAGTGCAGCCCTGATTCAGGAAACTTGTGTTAAATATATGTGCTAACTAACCTTTCATTAATATCAAGTATCAGTGCACAGACATCAATGGATATTCACTCCTGATTTTGTGATAACGGTGTATTTATAACGGAACAGATTCTCTGTTTCAGTGGCTATAATGGGTCATTATAAAAGACGTGAAGAAATGCTTCAGTGGACGTTGTACCAGGCAATAAATAATTTTATATTTTGAATGTATTAATGAATAATGAAGAACAAATTAACGAGTAAGGCAGAACTCTAGTCTATCCTTCATAAACCTTTCACATACAACACAACACTCAGACTTAAAATGGTTATATGGCCAGAACTTAGTTTTTCATTTATATGCAGATTTCCAAGCACTCACCAACAACCAAAATAAAGGAAATGTACTAAGTATTAACTATTTTATCCAGGCAATATTTCTGGTTGAAAATAAATTATCAAACATACATACATACATACATAGGGAACACAGGAAGTAATGATAAAAACAGCACATGTAACTTTCAAAATAACTTTCAAATAACTTTCATTACACCAACATTCGCCGAACTTTCATTCACCAAACCTGAATGTCAGTGGATCCTCTGAATGATGAGGTCCTTAAATAATCAAAATATGACCACTGCTATATGCTTGTTAATACTGTTGCACACTCAAATCTGATTTCAAAATGAGCACAGGCAAATATCACCCAGTTTTATTATTCATCAATCTTGTTTGGTAGGAGTGTGTAAATTTTAGCGTAACAACTTGAAAAACGCTTGATTTGCAGTTAACTAAATAAAACTATTATCGATACGATCCATAATACCAATAATAAGAATATATCTATAATACCAATACTACAATGTGCTTATTTCACATGCACATTGATATAAACAAATGCTGCAAATAAACAATTTGTTCTATTTAAAGATTTTGTTTTATACTACTGATTCTGAGCACAAAATAAACAATGTAAAACATGGCTTGTGCAGAATAAATAGCGTATAAATGTTCTTTTACACTAAATCACATTATCCTGGCATCTTAAAAAAGACACTGTTTATTTCACATTTTATTCTTTCCAGCCGACAGAAATTTAACACAAAAAAATTTGATCAGTTTGGATGCATTTACTGCTTGACCTCAAACTCCACCTACTGGCACAGCCATTCGCTCCCAAATGAAACACCTGCATGAATTATGGCATGTTTCACATAAGTGATGTAAGTGAGGTGCTGGTAGGTCAGCGCTTGATTTCATGCACTGAGGCTGATTCATCATTTGCACTCAAATCTGCACTCATTTCCTCAGCATACAAAGGTTTCATGAATATCATTACAGCATTAAAGGCTTCTAAATCTGCGCTCTTTCTTCACATCACTTTGATGAAGTTACTATCTTTTTGAGATGCCACTTGCACAAATTTTGCATGATCGAAGAAACATGTTAACTGCAAAACACTGCATGTGACCCAAGACACCCAAAACTGGTTTGCTCAGAACAGACAGAGAGAGGAACTACTTGGTTCCTAGCAATAAGAATAACCTTATCAGGCAGGTACATCATTGTTGTATTCCACTTACCTATTATTGTGCTTCTGCCGACAAATACAGTAAAGTGCATTGGGGTCATTTTCCTCACTGTCATGTGAAGACTTATCAGCATCTTCATTCTGCTCTGCCTCTTCATCATCATCCTTTCTGACACCTCTCTTTTGGTCTTTCTTCGAGGTTCTACTAGCCTTTCGAGGAGTTGTATCTTCTTGGACAGCATTCTTTTCATTTTGTAAACATGGTTTTTGTACCTCCTCTACATCCTTATTTACAGTGTTAGTGTTCAAGTTTAGATCAGGTACAGATAAAGCACTGGCCTCCTCAAGCTTTCGCCGGTTCCTCGCCCGTTCCTGAAGCTCTCGGAGGGTGAGGTCATCACTATCCTCAGCTTGGTCAGACGCAGCCGCCTCACTGACGGCTTCTACGTCTGATACAGCCTCCGGTACCATAGAAGACTGAGCTTTAGCAGCTGAATTGTCTAATGTTTGCTGTGTGCTGTTTAAATCAGCACAATCACCAGCACCAAGCTCCAGGATGGTATGTCCATCTGTTGGTTTTGGTGAAGGTACAGTAGCGAGGTTTGCTGGGGCACTTCTCTTGCCTCCCCGTCCTCGTTTTGGGGCTGGAGAAGTTGAGGGCATCTCACCAGCATCCTTACCTCTACCTCGGCCTCTCCCTCTCCCTCTAGCCTGCCGTGCTCCTCGACGAGGAGCTGTGATAGAGCTGATGTCCAAGTTCCCAATTTCTTCCATAAACTCCCTCCTGGCTATTGTGCTTCTCCGGAAGCCCCATCGTTTAGTTACCTCTTTAGGGGAGGAATCCTCCACCAGCATTTGCTGACTCTCTCCATTCTCCTCCATACTGCTATCAAGGTCACTGCTTAAAAAAAAAACAAAAGAGAAAAAGTGGAATATTTCCTTTAAGTTTCTCAACTGGTGTCTTTATTTAGGGCTGCATTCTTGATGAATTAGCAGTTGTAAGATGATCATTAAAAAAGAGCCTAATAGATACACCAATTTAAAGGAATGATTAGCCACAATGCTTCTATTATTTTGAACACATTTCAGAATTTTTCTAAGGATATGAACGGTTTGGCCTTTTTTTAACTCTAATTACTTGAATACCAGTCAAAATAATGCTTAGACTGTTTGAATACCAATATAGTTTATAGCGACAGCACTAACCTTTAACCTTTATCCTTTGTCTATAAAGTCCTGATCAAGTAAAAGGTTAAGACTCCATTTTAAGGAATTAAAACAGTGATGCATGCCATTTAAACAATACTGTACTATTACAAACATGACTTTGTCACAAAAAATCCACAGTATAAACTGCCTTTACTGCCTTTCATCGCTATAAAATGAGTATGTGATCTTTGATCTTTCCTCCTCAGGCTTGATTCTACTTAAAAGATACACAATGCTGTAACTCTGTAATGAACATTTCTCTTGAAAAAGGTCTAGAATTACTTTATCAAAGGGAGTTTGAATCATGATTGCACATTTGGTAAAATGCATCTGCATTAGAGACACATACTATTTAGACAGAGAATAAAAATAATCACTTAGGCCCAATTTCACCCCTTGCCCCTACCCCTAGGTTTTGCACATTGTAGGTGACTCCAGCTTTATATGAAGAATTAGGGGTGGGCGATACTAAATAATTGGCACATCCCCATCCCTCTTTAAAGGCATAAGATTCTCTAAATGTAACTAAAGCCCAGCACTGAGGTTGCTGAACTTTACCCTCTTCTGCCATCACTGCAGACTGGCAGGGTCGCCTACAGATCACCACTAGCAGCCTGTTAATGAAGTAATGTTCTTTTTATTTGAGGGTTTCAAGGGGCAAGGTGACACTCGAAAACAAGGGGTAGGAGTAAAAATAAGAAATGGGATCGGGCCTTAATGTGCCTCCATTCTTAAGAAGAAACTCCCTAGACCTGGCAACCCTTCACTGTTCATGTAAAGGCTAGCAATAAATATCCTCTCAATTCTTAGCAACTAAAACTGGGCAATACCTAATGTATGATATCAATAACCACCATCTGAAACTGCTTTGTACCTTGGTTGATATTTATACTGCATACTGTGTTTGTACTGTACATGTTTTATTTTTTGTTACATCTGTCTGAGTGTACCAACTTTAAATATTTTAATCTGTAAAATATGCTTACTGTTTGTTTGTTGACTAAAATACAAGTAAACAGACAACTTAAAAACAAAAATAGAAACTCCCTTTACACAGGATATAGACTATTTACAGACATGCCAAATTGCATGAGATTAACAGAACCTGGGTTAGGGTTATTTCTATGGTTAACTTTATAGTAGGTAAAAAAGCTGATAGAATAAAAATATCTGTAAAATGTAAACACTGAGATGCAAACAAAGTCATTCAGAGATGTATGAAATTCACCACTAAATAGAAACCTACCAACTCAGAATTGTTCACATTAGTGGTGTTAGGAACCAGACATCTGAAGAGTGTAATGCTAATCTAAAAGCCCCCTCACAGAAAGTTATTACATGAAATGATTACGAATATGTTGCCTAATGTCTGAGATATTGTTTTTCCCAATAGTTTTGAAATGTGTTTTATAAAATCCATTCATGGCAGAGAGGTACATGCAGGGCACCGAAAGGCAGAACAGTCTAGAAATAAAGCTTATGTTTCTGATGTTCAGTTATTTTCCCATTACCAACATTACATATACAGATATATATATATATATACACACATTAAAAAGCAGTGACAGTGCAGTTGAGGCACAGGTATGACGGAGCTTTCAACTACTTTAAACGGCTTTAAAAATGTACCTCAGAGTTGGCTACGTAGCCAAGTCCTTATAGAGTGTCCCCTTGAGCATTTACCATTCAATGCTTCTCCATTTAGAAATCTAGAATAAAAACAACCAAGACAATCAGAGACTGAAGGTTCGTAGTGCAGTATATATATAATATAGTATATATATATATATATATATATATAAAACCTTCCAGAAAATGAAAACGTCTCTTAAACCTAAACCTAATTAAAACCAAGACTAAACATATACCACACTTAATAAGATGCACATGCTGATACAGGCAACCATAAACAGTGGGGGGATTACAATGCACATACTGACAAATTACCCGGGAGTTTGAAGAGACTTTTAAATACTGATAAGTAAGGAGGGAACGTGTATGCATTACTAAACTTATTACTGACACAAATGTTACACAATTTAAGTGTGGAATAAGACAAATGTCTTTTTGTGGGCAAAGTTTGACCTGCTTGTACTAACTGTCAACGAACAGGTTGCGAACATAACCACAATCATCTGTGGAAGAAAAAAAAATGAGAAAATTCACTCAGGTATCAGAGTTGTGTAGCTCACAAAAATGTCACGTGTTGTGGTTTGTACACAAATTTTAAGTGGCCAGTATGAAGATGTTTATTGCTGCAAACTGCCCCCATTCCTCACTGAGCAAATCCAATATGTAGATTCCATAGAGTCCAGACTGGACACCACTGTTTAACTGTTTCTGTTAAAAAAAAAAAAATCTGTATATTTAAAGACCTGTACTGGGTTTGAGCCAAATATAGGAAATCAAACCTATTATTGAGAACTATATTTAACAACAACACAACTTTTCACTATGTTACACAATGTATGCATTTTTAAATACTGACAATCTTACAGTAACTTCAGCATGTCTTTCACATACAATTTGCTATAGCTGGACACTCTCAGACAAAATAATTCACCAGATCAAGAGACTAGGTCATGGGTTTTAAATGATAATGCCACTGATTTTTCAAAATTTCTACATAATTGAGACATTCCCATGTAAACAATGTCACTCAAAGTGGTTGATTTATAACGTCATTCAGAGTGGTTAATTCGTAAACAATGTCTTAGCTATAAAGCAGCGTATTAATAACCATTTTCATGTAATAACTTTCTGTGAGGGAGCTTTTAGAGGTGGATGTCTGGTTTCTATCACCATCACTGTGAACAAGCTCCTCTAGGACAGAGCATTACACATCAAACCACTCAGAATGACTTCGTTTACATCTGAACCATGTAATTATGCAGCAAGTTTAAAAAACTGGTGGACTTCCCCTTTAACCCAGAATTACAACAGTGACAACTCCAACAAACGTGAAGGTACTAGATATCTCAAAATACAGGATCGAAAACACCATCAGAAGATGTGAGTTGTCCACTACAGCTGCAAAAACAAGACTACATTTAAAACAGATGGGTCCACAAGGTTTCTTTAGTAAAAGGAATGGTTCTATTTAGACCCATGAGTTCTATATACACTTAAATGGTGAAATGATTCTTCAGATTGATGGAGAATGTGCTGTATACGGTTCTATATAACACCAAAAAGGCATCTCCTACTGTTACAACCTTGACATTGTCACAATAGCAAAACCCTTTTTGGTGCTATATAGAATCATATTCAAAAAGGTTCTATGTAGAACTTTTTAGAACATGTTCATTAATCTGAGGAACGATTTGACCATGCAAAGAGCCATTTAAGCATGAAATGGTTCTTTATAGAACTCATGGTTCTAAACAGAACCATTACTTTTACTAAAGGACCTTTGAAGAACCATCTTGTAAAAGAGTGTAGCTAACGTCAGCAAATCTAGCTACTCTTAGTACATGTAAATATGTCTCACTGGAGGGAGCGGGTTAAGGGAGAGCTAGCTAACTAACTTGGCTAACTAGCTAGCGCTAGCTAACGTTACATTTATTCAAACAGTAGCTATCTGAAGTTAATATTTCATGAAATGTACCCACAAATAGTGGTTTAAAAAGAAGAAACCATGTCTATTTCGGTATTGGACGCCATTTCCAGAAGCTAACGTCAAGTTACAGCATCTTTAGCTAACTAGCACAACAAAACGATGTCTTCCTATTCGCCAGGTTCTTCTTCAGATTTTCCCGTTCCACCTTAAATGGCGCAGCAAGTACATTCTGGCGCCTGAAGCGTTGCAATAGTAACTGTAGCACCATTTAAGGTGGAACGGGAAAATTCGAATAAGAAGCTGGCGAATACCTAAACATCTACTTCTGCATGTTACGCCTGAAAACATTAAATGGGCGAGTTTTAACTGAACGCAGCGCACATTTAATTCAAATAAGAATCCGAATTAGACCTGTGATGCTGTCACGCTCTAGTTTATGTGTCTTTTTAAGAGAAATGCTGGTTCGTCTGTGTTGCACCGAGCCGCAGTGAGGTTTATCAACGCACAGCTAAAGCGGGATCCACGCTACTGTTCAATTTCTGAATGCGATATTTCGTAAAAAAATCCGTATTGTGAATGAGTAAATAAGTGTGGTTGCTATGGAAGCACTTACACGCGCCGCCGAACTAAAACACACAACGACGATTCGAAACCGCGTGAGCTTCCATTTTGTCCCTCACGAGAGAGAGAGACGAGTGGGCGTGAGGTATGGGCGCGCGGTGTCACCGTGTTGGTGGGAGGAGGTTAAAATGGAGCCAAACAGCAGCGCTGCTGGACCGGAGGGGAATAAGAGGGTGATCCCGTGGTTGGGGCTGCGTTTAGGCCTTGTAACTCTAAAAAAAAAAGTTGAACTTAATTTAAAATATCGTTTGTATTTATATAACCGATCTTACAGGAACTTCTAAGCAAAAAATCTATACCTACACATATAGACTGATGTATATATATATATATATATATGTGTGTGTGTGTGTGTGTGTAGGTATATATATAGGTCTATATGTGTAGGTATATATATAATGACTGAAAACCCTGAACATATGGAATGAACCTTGAGAATATGGAATGAAAGTCTGAATATATGGAATGAACTTCATCAAGGCACTTGCGCCATCTTGTGTTCTCGATGTTTGAGAATCCGTGCGGATGCAGGCAATGATACTGAGAACATAGAACCCTGTAAACATTGAAAACTGGGAACACAGAACCCTGAGGACATAGAATCCTGGGAACATCTAACCCTGAGAACATAGATCCATGGGAACATAAAACTCTGGGAACACTGAACCCTGAGAACATTCTTCTTCCTGGGATCTTCCAATAACCCAGATGACGCACATTCCTGTTGCACGTTTTATGTGGTGAAATTGCTCAGGGACTAAAATGTACATTTTTATAGCCTATACTGGACGATTCACGCAAACAGTGTTAAAGCTGGAGATACAACAAATGGATACAGCACCTTGCTGCAAAAAAATACATTTTTCATTTTTTTACATATGTCAAGGTAAAGTGCAGTTACAGTGAACTGGGATAACTAAAAATGCTGTTTTCTAAGTGCTGTATTGACTTTCTGAATATTTTGAGCTATTTATCTGAAACACTATATTTATGTTTATAACATCCTTTACCTTCACTTTACATACATATTTGGAAATGCTAATATCGTTTGGGACACAATTACCCAAAAACAGGTGTTTGGTAATTCACTATAGCATGACTAAGATAACACTCATTCTTAGTTTCTGTGATTCACAACTGAAAAGAGACAAGCACACATTGAATTTCAAAATAGTTATAAAATTATAAAATATATTGATAATGTTTTTCAGGATTACAGGAGCATAAAAATGAAACAGTTAAAAGTGTTGATAAAAATAGAGAAAAATAATCTCAACAGAGAAAGAGAGAGAGACAGAGAGGGACAGAGACAGAGACAAAGAGAGAGACAGAGATAGCACCCACAGGTGTCTTCCCCATTTAGTACAGGCTTTGTTAAGGCAGTTCTACCGTTATGCATATTATATGTAAATTAGGTAATCTACATATACAACTGCTGATTCATCATCACAAATCAAAGCTGTTGACTTGGTTTGGTTCAGAAACAAACCTGAACTCAGTGAGACTCAGTAAAGATTCATCTTAATGATGACAGCAAGAGTCGCTCTCAGTCAGATCAAAGCCTTGAAGGTCCCCGAATGGTCACCTTTCACCCAGTTTTCTACGAAGATGGAGATACCCAGGTCCAGCCGCCATGTCTGGTAGGACAGATTGGAGATAAACAAAGTCCTTATCTCATGTCTCCTCTTTCTCAAGGAACAAGTCACAGGCCTCACAGAGACATAAAAGCCAAAAAACTATTATTCCTTGTTGTAAGAATTATATTTTTCAGGGAAACATTCTATATTAAAAAGATATACATTGCAGTCCATGCTGACATACATTTCAAACACTTAAATCTATTTCAGAACATATTAACCAAATGTGTTATAAAATGCATTTATTTTAAAATATATGAAGAAATATTACACATTAACAAAAGTAAATGTATGTAAATGTATTTATCAAGTAGCCAGATAAAAATAGTTAGAGTCCTAAATGAAAAAGAAATGAAAAGGGTGAAAAGGGTTCTTTGCATCATGAAATGGTTTTTCAGACTGATAGAAAATGTGCATGAAGATGGATCTTTTTGAGAAGAGTTCTGTGCAGCACAAAAAGGTTCTTCTACTGTTACAAACTTGACATCATAACAGAAGTGTACAGAGAAATGGTTCTATATAGATCCATACACAGCACATTCTCCTTCAATCTGAAGAACCATTTAATGATGCAAAGAACGCTTTAATCATGCAAAGGGTTTTTTAAGTGTTCATGGTTCTATATAGAACCATTTTCTTTACTAAAGAAACTTTGAAGAACCATCGTTTTTAAGTATGCAGCATTGTTCAAAGACCAAATTTTTCCATCAGTTTTTTTTTAATCTGCTTCATTTAATCAGTCATTCAGAGTAGTTTGGTGTGAAATAGTTGATTGTAGAGATTATTCTAAAGACATCTTTACAGTGGTGGTGGTTGCCATGACTACAACATAAATATAGGTGTTTTATTTACTATCCAAAACCACCAGAGAACTTACACATGTCTACATATGAGTTTTAATATGTGATGTTGATGATGGTAGAATAGTGGTAAATCTGAAAAATAGATTTTTGGGGGAATTATATTTTTTGTTTGTTTTTTGACTACTTTTGGGTCACCCTGCATGTACACCTCCACCGTTATTGGAGTTTAAAAAAAAGTTTTGAGGCTCAAACCTTGTTTCAAAACTACCATAAGAATGTCTAGACATTGTAAACATCTCCTGTAATAACTTTCTGCGAGGGAGCTTTTAGAGGTGGACGTCTGGTTCCTATCACCACCACTGTGAACAATTCTGACTCTATAAGTTTCTCTAGAACAGAGCATTTCACACCAAAACAATCTCTCAATGACTTTGTTTACATTTTGACCATTTAATTATGCAGAATTTTTGAAATACCAGTGGAGCTCACTTTCAATATTCATGCTTCTCAAACTGCAGGTGGGTTCTGCTCCAGAAGGTGGCAGCAGAAACTTTTAAAGTGGCTTACAAACTGAACCTGATTGCGCTCAGCCGAGTGTGTGGCTTCCACAGCGTGGTATTGTGAGTGACAATGAAGAGAACATTCATTCTGAGAGAATTTGGAGTATGTTCTAGCATGTCTGAGAACATAGTGAGCATGTTCACCCATTTTCAGATTTGCTTTGTGCACTTTTGTAGTGTCAGTAGCAAAACTTCAGTTCAGGCCTGGAAATAAATAGGTGATATGAAGTTTTAAGAATTTAAAGCACCTTCTGTACTTCAAAGCTGTCGGTTTAATGCTTGCAATCAATGAATAGACTTCTTAGGTGAAAATAAATGCAGCTATTAAACTTTAAGTACATTTCACAGATCTGAAATGCTCTTGTAAACAAACCCAAATCAGAATGTCCTCAGGAAAAAAAATCCCCTCCACCAGCGGAAACACTGGAGAGCTCTTCATAGCAGAGCTGGTAAAAGTGGGTACTTTCCAAACTCCTCTGTTGTGCTGTTTCCTAGATGAGTCAGTCGTAATGAAGAACTGAAACTGAGATGATCACTGATGTACTAGGTTGTGTTTTGCGCTAACAAAAGTAATAATCTTAAAAATGCGTGTGCTATAAATTACTGCATGGTGAGTAGCGGAGCTCCATTCATGTGGAGAAAATTTGGTGCCTAAAGTAAAGGTCAAAGGACACGTCACTCCAAGTTTCAGTTGACCAATGGACACTAGCCCTGCTTATGAGACCCTCCCAGCTACAGACGTGCCGAAAACTCAGAAACAAAGGAAAGATTTTAGCAGGCATACAATTCAACTCATATTTTTATTGTGGAACTTGTAACTTGTAATGTTTAATACTAAGTTTAGTACTTTTGGTACAAAACTACTTCCATACATTTAATTTTATATTAAATAATAGAATGTGTTTAAAAAATACATAAAATGTGCAGTTTGCATATCCATCTATCCGTCTGTCTGCCTGTCTGTGTGTCTGTCTATCTATCTATCTATCTATCTATCTATCTATCTATCTATCTATCTATCTATCTGTCTGTCTGTCTGTCTGTCTGTCTGTCTATCTATCTATCTATCTATCTATCTATCTGTCTGTCTGTCTGTCTGTCTGTCTGTCTGCAGAAATATTCTGTGTTGAATTCATTTTCATTGAGGTCACAAATCCTAGCACATTTACATATATCTATCTGTGTATTAAGGCTTACAACAGTTTAGCCCTGCCCACTCACACTAAAGTTATAAGGAGTGTTTCAGCTCTGAATGTATTTTGAATAATAATTGGCAGGCCAGCCAATCAGAACAGAGCTTAAATGCAAAAGTTAAGTTTAGACACCCCAGTCAAATTACATGTTTCTGTTGATTTTCTAAGTGAAAATAAATGAACAATAAAATATAAAACGTGAAATGTTCAGATGCAACATTTTATATTTTATTTTCTCCAATATGTTAAATTCAGCAAGTAAACAGTAAAGGTGTATTAAAATGAGTCTGAAAAGAAATGTGTAACTTATTTACACTTAGAAAATCAATAAAACATCATTTGACCAAAATTTTGCATACGACTGTATATATTAGCCTTAAACAATATTTCTTAAACAGTAACACAATAATTCTTAGGGGTAAAGAGAGGGTGGATACGATCATGTAAAAAAATGGTGGTTGTTTTTTTGGTATTTAAACCGCACCGGCATTATTAGTGCACCTCAGGCGAAAATAGAAAATAGAAAGAAAATTAAATAGAAGAAAAACACAGGATATGAGCTCTTTAAAAACGACTATTTTTAAGCAATAGCAGAGCACACAGTTCATTCAGTATCAGTCATCTTGTGCAGGGCGCTGCATGTGTTGGTTCAGAAAGGCCTCTGCCGGTGATGCATCGGGCAGAAATGACAGAGAGCTGTTTTTATTTATGGAGCTTTATATCTGGCTGTGTGGCTGTGTGTGAAGTGAGTGCCGTGCACGCTTTCCCGTGTCCACCTTTTCCTGACTGCTTCCTCTGAGTCAGAGTAAAGTCATTGGTAGTGAATGAGTCAGAGTGGTGGGGGTTCGTCCCCCTCTTTCCCCTCCCCCACTCGTCTGCCCCCATTTACACA